TCTTCTGCTTGCTGTGCTCTGTTTTTGTGCTTTTAAAACGATTCAATTTCATCAAAAACCTCTCTGTTCGCTTTGCTGTAAATTGTCATACTTTTTCTTGTTTGCCTGCTTGCTTGCTTGTTCTTTTCGTTTTTCTTTGCATACGTATCCCTTCCTTGATCATCGCCACCATGCCATTTAGTGTTATGCATACTCCTGTTGACCAGCGAGTCACTCGTAGCCGTGGCGCTGTGCAAAGCGCTGCTCGCGCTGCTGCCACCAGAAACTTTGAGGCTCGCACCGACCTCACGCGCGACTTCCAGCACGAAGAAGATCATGCCGAACCCCACGCTCTCGATTGCTTGGTCAACGAGCATGAGGAAGAGGAAAGACCGAAAATGGCCGCCACCGGGTCGCACCCGGCCACGCCTTCGACAGGAGCCGCTCCCGTCGAGGCTACAGCGAGCGCTTCTCGCCATGCCGCAAGCGCCGCCGCCACATCAGCCGCCGCCGCGGGCCCTGGATCCCCCCGCAACAATGACGCCGCCGTGGCCCAGGTCCACAGGACCCTTCAAGCCCTAGTGCACTCTCTAGGCTCCCAACATCAGCTCCAATCGCAGATTGCCGAGCTTGAACGCGAGATAAACGCTGCCCTTCGGCTCATCCCGGACAGGGGCCGCTCACATGGTTCGTTACGCGCGCACGAGACCCAGTCGCCTTCTCGTGACCTTGCGACCGATTTTTCTTTGCTCGCTCCCTCGCCCGCGGCGCACCCGACTGCCCGCGATGGCGAAGTGGCTTTTGGCCTGGCCTCTAATCGCCCTCTACCCCGGCTCCCGAGAGAGCCCGTGCACGAATCGCTCTCTCACGACTCTCGTTATCGTCATGGCTATTTGAGCTCTCCCGCACATGACGATAGAGCCACCACGCCCAGGCGCTCTCCCATGGAAGCAGTGGATGCATCCCAATTTGGTGTTGCCTTTGGCACCAATGCGCCACCACGGGCCGGCTCTCGGACTCAACCACCCCACCACGTTTGGCACCGAGCCTACCAAACCTCAACCAAGTGGGAGTCCTATCGCGGTGACAGCAAGAAAGGTCTCGACTGCCTCAAAGAAAACGTCAACTCGGCCCTCGTTCTTCTCCAGGCCGAGCCCTTGCTGCATATGGCCACCCTCGATCTAGAGGGCTGCACCGCCGCTGGTATCCAGGATATTTATGGCGACATTTTTTCCGACCTGGACTACCTCATCTACGTCAACGACATCATGGTTGACTGGATCTTACCGTGCTTGAGAGGTGACCTTGCCTCTCGTTTTCAGCGCGAAAAATCACGCCAACG